TGAAAATTAAATAGTGGAATTTAGCTATGGTCGAAGAGTTACAGAAAATCAGAAGAAACAACACATGGTAGTTAGTTGAATTACCAGTACACATAAAAGCTATCAAAGTAAAGTGGGTGTTCAAGTTGAAACACAATGCTAATGGGTCGATAGCAAAACATAATGTGAGATTTGTTAGAAGAAGTAGCCTTATCTAGAGGGGGTGAATAAATCACCAAGCCAAAAATTCGAGATAAAAATTATAGTTTTAAAAGTAGTTCAAAAAGAGGGCACGCAAAAGGTTTTGATATAGATACGAAATTATCGTCTATACGAACCAAGCTATTGGAAGTCAGATATGCAAATATAAAGAGATATATGGAATGAAAAATATAATATTAAATTTATAAACTTCAATTAAGTAACAATATATTAATAGTTTATAACATTTACTAGCAATACTATTTCCAATGGTAACTATCAAAAGAATAAACAAAACAATTTGTCCAACACTTGCTGTGCGGCTAAATTTTTAGAATTTTCATTTTGAGTTGTGTTGATGAAAAAGAACTTATAATCAAAATTGATTATTAGAAAATCAACATTTATTTCAAAACAAAACAACCACGAAAAAAATACTTACGAGTCGATTGATTACTCAATGCTATTAGACAAATTGATTGATGAAAATTAAAGCAAGTAAAGCGATAAGAAAAAGAGACATGAGGATTTGTTTAGGAAGTTCACCAATCATCATCACTATGGCTACATCTCCATCTAATTTCAATTTTGGAATTAGGATAAATTATTACTATGCAAAAAGTTGATACAAAAGAAGTGTTCCAAAAGCAACCCTACAAACCCGAACTGTTTATTGTTGATTCAACCCATTATCTTCTTTTGATCTTGAGAAAGACCAAGACACAATAGCTGCCAATTGATTTGTAGATATTGCTACTCCTTTGCATTATTTATCTCCAAAGCTTTTACGCACGATCAATTGTACCTATTGTACACACAACTTCAATTTGATTCTTCTTTCTTGCGCTACTTCTTTTGCATTCTTTATCTCCAAAATCTTTCACTAGGCTGCAATCCTCTCTTGAACGTCTTGCACGAAAACCCCAAAATCAACCAACGATCTTGGAGGACAAACCCATGATTTTTCTGGATGAACACCCCTACAAATCTCAACCTAATATTCTCGGCTACACAAGAACCTAATTGGATGTTATCAAACCTCTCTTAGATGGCACCCCGATAAAAGATGATTATTTGTGATTTATCAGTGTGTATGCATAGGTTGAAGGTTGAAGGTGAAGAGCAAATGTAGTAAGTGTTTATAGTTTCATCAAGTTGGAATGATACATGAATGATGTATTTATATTTGTGGTAGTTTAGATGCAAAGACGTAAATTTCGGAATTAAAAAAGAGTTGAAAAATTGACCCAATCAAACAGTATTCGTCGACCTAAAAATCGTATGTGTTGACACATAAGTAATAATTTAACTATATGCGCCGACTTGAAAAACAGATGTGTTGACCTAAGCATGGCAGTAGCAACTTGTTTTAAAATTACAACATATGTGTCGATCTGAAATTCGTATGTGTCGACACATAAAATAAGAATTTTTGTAATTTCTTAAAAACTTCAGTATGTGTCGACCGAAGCATCACAAAATACAAATGCTTCATTTTTTAGATGCATGTGTCGGCCTGAAATACATATGTGCGGCACATGTAGTTCAATTTTGTGTAGAAAATGACTTTTAATGAATGAGACTAATTTAAAACATGTTTAATATGATTCCTAAGATTCCTAAGATTTCTAAGATTCCTAAGATTCCTAAGACCTCTAAATGCACAAGATGTCACACTAACTCAAAGATAATGTCCACTATCCAGAAATGCAAAGTTCTTGCAATTTGATATCACTCAAAACAATTTTAGAGGCAAGTTTCACTCGCAAGATTGGTAGCTCGAGGATTTATTCAGAGAGCAGGAATCGACTACTCTGAAGTATTTTCTCCAATAGCAAGATTGGAGATTGTTCAACTAGTGGTAGCCTAGGCATGCAAGCAAGGCTGGTCAACATTTCATTCAGATGTGAAATCAATATTTCTGAATGGTCCTTTAGATGAAGAGCTCTATGTCACACAAACTTCTGGGTTTGTGATTCAGAAGGAAGCGAGTAAGGTTTATAAGTTTCACAAAGTGCTCTATGGCCTTAAGCAGGCACCTAGGACATGAAACAAGAAGATCAACTCATTCTTAGTCAAATTGGATTTGTAAAATGCAAGTTTGAGTATGGTGTCTATGTTCAGGTTGTAGCACAAGATATAATAATCATCTTCTTATATGTCAATGACTTGCTGGTAACTGGAAATAGCTTGGAGAATTTGTCAAGTTCGAAGAGTTGATGATGAAGGAATTTGAAATGTTGGATCTGAGAAAAATTTCTTATTTCCTAGGCATGGAATTTCAAATGTTGAAGCAAGGTATGGTGCTGCATTAAAGGAAGTATGTTAAATAAATACTCAAGAGATTCATGATGGATGATTTGACTCATGTATCTTCAGTTGTCGAAACAAATTTGAAGTTGGAGAATCATGGAGAGGAAGACAAAGTCGATGTAACTTTGTTCAAACTAATAGTTGGATCTCTGAGATATGTGTGTAACAATCGACCTGATATAGGTTTCACAGTCAGATTAGTGAGCATATACATGAGTGAACCAAGGGTGTCACACAAGAAGGCTGCAAGAAAATTTTTGAGATACGTAGAAGGATTGATAAATTATAGAATTCTATTTCGACGATACTCTGAAACTAAAGAAGCAATAATTACTTATGTTTCAGATTCTAATTGGTGTAGAGATAAAGAAGATCGAAGAAACACAACTGGATATTTCTTTCAAGTATTTGGTGCCTCAATCTCATGGTGCTCGAAAAAGCAACCTGTGGTGGAATTATCATCGTGTGAATATGAAATATATCAGGATCCTATGTTGCATGTCAAGTAATTTGGATTAGATCGATACTTGAAGAAATGGAGGTTGAAGTAAAGAAACCTCTTATGTTGAAAATCGACAACAAGTCAGCCATAAATCTGACGAAGAATCCAGTTCTGCATGGAAGAAGTAAGCATACCGAAACTAGATTTCACTTCTTGAGGGAAAAGGTAAATCAATGTGAACTTGAAGTTAGACACTGCTCAAGTGAAACACAGTTGGCTGACATTTTCACCAAAGGATTGAAGATCGACAAATTCCTGAATTTGAGAAAGAAATTAGGAATAGTTCAGATTGACTATTTTTAAAGTATGTTCTGCAACTTGGATTATGGGGGGGGTATAATTATACCTAATCTAAGTTGTGTAACCTAAGCCCAAGCCCAATTAGGACTTGTTAGCCTACTTAGTGTATATGTTAGGTGTATATAAATAGTCGTAGTTTGTATCATTTTTTGTAACAATTCAATTTAATAATACAATCCTTATTTCTTTATTCTCTCTCTTTCTCCCCTCATGAAAAGTGCATCACGCACTAACAAACATAAAATGGAATATAACTATTAATGAATCAATTTAATAAGTATCAAGAAAGAATTTGTAATAACCATGAAACTGTTAGTGGCCAAAGATTACAAATTGAGGTAATATGAAATATGTGTTATTTGGAATATAACACAGTAAATAAAATGCAATACCTAAAGAATAACAATGGAAATCCTCATTACTTTGTAATTGTGTTCATTTATATCATTCGTTCACTCTATCTATTTCTCAAATCGTTATAAAAAATACTCTTTCGAATGCACGGATTTTTAATTACTTGAGTTATTGATCAAGAATAATATAACCTAACAATGTAGATAATTGTGCAAATGAAACTTTAACCTTAGATTTGAGAATCAATATGCAAATAACAAGACATTGTCCTTATTTTTACAAAGTTATTAATTAACGGACAATTATAAAGTTAACCATACTACTAAAAAGTCTAAATGAAATTAAAGATTTCAAAATGACTAAAACCTTACAAGAAATGAACTTGGCACACACAAAATCACTAGATATGTGTGAAACTATTTAAAACAAAGCAAAGATCACACATGACCTGTGTGAGACTATTTAGAACAAAGCAAAGATCACAAATGACCTGAAACACGAAAATCCAAATATCAATTTAAAATATTATTTGTTAGTTTGATAAGAGTGCGTATGAATAACTTTCAGAGTAACCATTAGAAAGTACATCTATATGATTTACAAACCTTTTGACCTAGTTCAAACACATCAATTGCATCTTATACATAATATTCAACCTAAAACAAATCAAAAATCAGAACTGAAATGTGAAGTTAGCAAGAAGTAGAACCAAGAAGCATAAGCAAAACAAGAGAAAGAAGTAAGAAACTGACTTATGTATTTCATCGAACACGTGGCGTGCGAGTTTCAAAACAGTGATAACTTCACGGGTTGCATCATCATTAGTATAACGATTCAACATTTCATCACAAAAAAATCAAAACAGAAGCAAAAGAAAAGAGAAAAAACTGATGGAGGTATTTCGTCGAACACTTTGTGAGCAAGATCAAAAGCGGTATATTCTTCTCCTCATTGCTTCAACGGAACTGGAATGCAAGCGATTGTTACTATTGTGAGAGTGAATTCAAACATGTACTATTGAAACTTCAGGTTACACGAGAAAGAGTCTGAGCAGGTACTCAGCCTGATCGGACCTTAATTGCACCACTGAATGCATGTTCATTAAACTCTTTTAAATAATATTTTTGGAAAGATAGTCAAATTGAAAAGAAAAAAAAATAAAATTTGTAATTTGAATTTTATTTCTGACTATTCATATTATTTCTTAAATATTAAACAAAGAATGGCATTAAAAAATGTTTGCCGTTGGAAAATATCTAACTGAGTTGTGATTTCTTAAACCCTTTAAAACCCATTTCCGTTTCGTCAAAACCCCTGTCAATCATTTCAGTGAGAACTTTCATCAAACACCATGAGCTCCTCTCCAAACAACTCTTCCTCCTCCCTCAACCGCCTCGACACCATGTTCCTCCGTCACCTAATCGGCAGGCTTAAGGTTCAAGATTCCGACAATCAAGTAACCGAAGATGATTTCATTTCCGACGAAGAAGAACTAGAATACGATAATGAAGAAGACCTTCCCCGTCCCTACCAAGACGACGGACTTCGCGCAATCTACGAAGAAGAATCTCGGATTGAAGCTGAAGTCGTTTACCAGATTCTCAATGGAAAAGCGCATACCTTGAAGCCTAATTCCGGTGAAACGGTTATGATTCGTGAAAGTAGCATTGCTGTTGGGTTTCATGCAGACGAAGAAGAAGGGGAGTATATTGTGTGGGAATGGCATGGTCACATTCCGCGGTACACTGAAGAGCATCAATTTTCTCTTGAGTATATCTATGGCAATTACTTTCAGAAGATTGTGCCTGAGGAGCGTCCTCTTACACCGCCTCGAGTAGATGCAGCGGCTGATAAGGGTTTGAAGGACTTGTTTGATGGTGCTGTCAATCCCGCCCCTGGTAGGGTTCTTCATCGTAATCTCAACGTTGGTTCTGCTGCCCCCAGGTACTCAATTCTATTTCTTTTGTTTTGTTGCTATCTTGTGAATTTTGTTTATCTGTTTTGGTTCGATAATTTCCGTGTGTTAATGTTTACTGGTATGTATTCTGTTGTTTTTATTTTGTATCTTTACACAGAAATGTAGCAGCATATGCTTTTGGTTGTAGATGAATTTAGCTTTTAGAAAGTTATATTGTGTTTAGGGTTTAGGATGCTTAAATGATACACGTAAATGGGGTTCCCCGAGCCCTAGTCAGGGTTGCGATCATGGGGAACCTCATTGGATGCAGGTAATAAATGGTGCAGTCACCCCGGTCAGCAAATCGGTGCTACTAGACGAAGATCGGATTTAGGGTTCTTGACCTGGTCTTTGTCTAATGGCTCCAATTCGATAGAGACTTTGTTGAGCGGTAGTGAATACATATATTTTCTATTGCAGCAAATCTGCAGTTGCCAAACCTTGCTTTCGCTTCGTTCAATGGATCTATGTTTTTGGATGAATATCGGTTTGCTAGTATTTTAGCTCCCTCCAAATCTGGTTTATATACAATTTGAATCATGAGTTAATCGATCTTCATCAAACAACCTAGATCTGCAACTAATGAAATTGTGACTATAGAGAATCTTTAAGTCATGATTCTTATCGTAAGCCGTGGATTTTGGTAACTTATGAACACGGATTTGTTGTAGTCGATCAATCATTGGATGGTAAATTGGATGAAGACTTTAGAGCCTCACATATCAAGTCTGTTTTTTTGAATCTGGTTGCAGATATTGGATTGTGAGTCATTATGTCTTCATCCTGTAGCTCCCGTTTGCTAATTGCAATGATTGCGTCATTTTTACGAAAATATCAAGTTTGTGCCTGAACTGCATAGCTAAGAGGGAGATTCACCCAATAGCCTCCCAGATGTACTAGCTAGGTTGGCTATGGAGATCGGCTATGACTCAAAATTTGGGTTCTAGCAACTTTCCTTTCATTGTGGATGAATTCAGCTGTTAGGAAGTTGGATCTTTTGCACTTAGACTTTATGATGCTTAGATGGTAGGCACAAATGGGGTTTTCCCCAAGTCAGGCTGTGACCACGGGGAGCCTCATTTTATGTAAATAATAAATGACACAGTCACCTCAGTTGGCGAATTGGAGCTTTTAGATGAAGATTGAGTTTAGAGTTCTTTATTTGGTCTTCATCTAGGCTCCAATTTAATAGAGACTTCATCAAACAGTAGTGAATGCATTGGTTTTTTGTTGCAGCAAATCTCCAGTTGCCAAACCCTGACGATGTTGTGTTAATGGATCCTTATTGTTGGATGAAGATTGGTCTCCTAGTATGTTAAATTCCCCAAATCTGTTGTCAATTTAAAGTACGATTTGGAATGCGACTCATCCGATCTTCATCCAACAACCTAGATCCGCAACTACTGAAATTATGATTGTATAAAATCTAAGGTGCAATAACCCAGGTTGGCCATGACCTCAAAATTTAAGCTATAGCAACTTTCTTTTTTCATTGGTCGTGATGTTTTTCATGTTGGTGTGTATGGTTGTGCTGCTATACAGTGATTTATCATGTGAGAAATGTTTAATTTGCTTTTGAGCATTTCTATTGCCCGTTTTATTGCATTGAGTGCAACTTTACCACAGACTTGAACATTTTATGTTTGATTTCTCTTATGTTCTTCTTTGAAGAATTTGCAGGCTCTGAGAATTTCATCATTGGAATTTCAAGTTCAAAGGATTGCAAGCAGAGGTTGCACTCATCATCTCATTCCCTTTGTGAAGCAAAGATAGTTTTCCCATCTTCCATCAGTATAAATCTCAAGAATAAGCCTACATTGTATTCCTGTTTGAGCTTTCAAATCATACTTGTAAAGGATGCAAGACATGGTTTTTTATTTTTCGATACCAGACATGGTTTTTTAATAATTCATCATCTTTGCTTGGAGAATTAATAATATGACATTTTATATTTGGTCCATTATTATGATTATATTTAGCCATTTGTTACGTTCCTCTGTTACTTTTTTGTAGAATTTTATTAACAATAAGTTGTGTCTAATGTGTAACAGTTAGATAGGTCTTGTACATCACAGTTGGATTAAGCTGTTCTATTAGATCTCTAGGTTGACCTTCCATGTATGTTCGCCACCCTCTCTGTACCCCATTTCATCGGCCGACCTATTCTCCATCCTTTGCATCTCTTCTCTGCTCTTCCACTACCTTTTGCTTCTGTGTTTCAGCCTTTTTTTCTTCATCCTGGAGAACAAAAGTCTTATTTCACTCTCATCTTTACACAATCACATTGTAGCCCTCAACAACTTTTAAGTAATTTTGACAATCCAATACAATAACACCTCCAACAGTTCATCTGCTCCACCCTTCCAACTCAACAGGAAAATTACCTACAACGATAACTCTCTGGTTTCCTTATATTGGTTGTTTCTACATATTCAATTTTTCTTGTACTGTCTTAAACACATTGCTGTGCTAACGTTCCCTTCATACACATTGTGATTCCTCTTTGTTGATGATGTGTGTCTTGTCGGACATGGTGGCACCATTGCTAAGCGGCTATGGGAACAACATGATGGTGCTTAGGTGCATCCCTGTCTTTGACTATGGGTACAATGTGACGGTGCTCGAGGTGCATCAAACAAGCTGGTTTTTGAGAGTGGTTTGGGTTACTCAAATACCCTGAACCCACCCATTCCTTTTCCAAACACCTCACCCCACCGTTTCTCGGCCTTTTGCAGTGTTATAACCACATCTTCACCACCTCGTTGTTCTGTTGATCACCATATTCATTTGATTGACTTATAAATGTGTGACCGTACCATTACATACAATTCCAAAAAACAGAAATGGAGAACTAATCCGTGAAATGCTTGATCAAGGAATCATCATTCCCAACCATATTCCTTTCTCCTCGCCTGTATTGTTGGTCCAAAAAATGGCTCTTGGTGGTTCTGTGTTGATTACTACGGGGCTTTGAATGCGGCGAATACTAAGGATAAGTTTCATATTCCCACCATTGATGAACTTTTAGACAAACTTTGTGGGGTAACCATGTTTACCAAACTTGACCTTCGCATCAGGTATCATCAAATTAGTGTGCATTCTCGCAACACGTACGAAATGGAGTTTCACACGCATGAGGGACACTTTGTGTTTTTGGCCATGCCTTTTGGTCTCACTAACGCGCCTTCAACATTTCAAGTGACCAAAAATTAATTGTTTTCTCAGTTCCTCCAGCGGTTTGTGATTGTTTTTTTATGATATCTTGGTTTAGAATTCTTCTATTGAGGGCCACTTAAATCACCTGAATTTGGGTTTGCAGTGCCTGTTGACTAATTCATTTTATGTCAAGCTTTCCAAGTGTTTATTTTGTCAGGAATCCATTGCTTATTTGGGCCACATAGTGTCTTCCAAGGGTGTTAATGTTGATCCCAACAAGTTGGATGCCATGATGAAACGGACATTGCCTTCCAACGTTAAATAACTCATATGATTCTTAGGCTTGAATGGCTATTACTACCGTTTTATTATGAATTATGCCACGATTGCAGCACCGTTGAGGAATCTTTTACGCCACGATGCATTTTATGCTCTTAAGCAGACTATGATGGCAACTCGAGTTCTCCACTTACTGAATTTCTCTAAAGATTTCGACTGATGCATCTAACTTTGGAATTGGGATTGTCCTCATTCAATATGGTCATCCCATTGCTTTTTTAGTAAGAAACTTGGTCCCAAATTACAGGCCGCATATGTGTACATAAAAGAGTTGCATGCCATCACTGACACAATCCTCAAATGGTGCCAATATCTCTTGGGCTATTTCTTTATCATCCGGACTGGTCATAAAAGAATTCAGGAATTATTATAACAGGTTATTCATACTCCTGATAAACAGGTGTACCGTGTACGTGTAGAAGTTATTGGGTTTTTAATTTCACATAAGATTATATAAACTGGGTGTCTTAAATAAAGTTGTAGATGCTCTGTCACGCGTGCCGACAGAATGGACAGATTGTGATTCACACAACTCTCTTACACTTTTGGCTTTAGTCTTTTCCCCTACTTTCGGGATTCTACAGCAGCTCCGGAAGGAAAATGACTCGGATTCTTTTTTGTTGGCTTTTCATGAGAAATTTGCATAGGGTACCTTGATGTTTTCTTATTCCGTCATCAATGGGTTGGTTTTGCATCACGGGCACAATGTTCTTAATACCTTGCTGCCACTTTGCACTATTATTATTAGTGAATTTCATGATACCCTTGGTGGCGGGCATGTGGGTGTCAAACATACCCTCGTCCGTGTTGCCACCAATTTCTTTTGGCAGGGTATGCGCCAAGTTATGGAATGTTTTGTAGCTTCATGCCTCCTTTGTCAACAAATTAAATACTCCACTCAAGTTCATGTTGGGTTGTTACAATCCTTGCTCACGCCAGAGGTGGTGTGGGAAGACATCAATATGGGATTTATCACAAGATTCCCTTCAGCTCACGATTATACGATGATCTTAGTGGTGGTTGACTGCTCATCCAGATCTGCTCATTTTGGCGCGCTCACGACATCCTTTATTGCTTCCAAAGTGGCTGAATTGTTTGTTTCTATGGTTGTTCACCAACATGGTTTTCCATGCTCAATTGTGTCTCATCGTGACCTAACCTGTATGAGTAACTTTTGGCATAAACTTTTTGAGTTGAGTGGCACAAAGTTATCTATAATTAGTTCCTACCATCCGCAAACATATGGTCAATTTAAGGTGGTTAACAGAGGCTTGAAGCAACACTTATGGGTGGTTACTCAACACAGACCTTCTACTTGGGTTTCATTTCTTTCATGGGCTGAATTCCACTACAATACTAGTTATCACAACAGCCTCAAAATGTCACCATCTGAAGCTCTTTTTGGTTGAAAACCTCCTTCTATTCCAGTGTACACCAGAGGATCAACTTCTATTCAAGCATTGGAAGATGCTCTCCTTACTCGTGATGATTTATTACGCACTCTTAAGGAGAATTTTCTAGCTGCTCAGCACCGTATGACTCAAAAAGCCAGTGCACACAACCACAAACTCTCCTTTGATGTCGGAGACTTGGTCCTTGATCGTCTACATCCATATCGTTTAATGATGTGGCATACAAACACTGCCATCACAAGTTGTCTAAGAAATATTATGGATTGTATCCGGTTATTGAGCAAATTGGTCTTGTTGCCTACAAGCTACAGTTTCCACCGAAGATTCGTATTCATCTCGTGTTCCATATTTTCATTCCTTAAACCATTTTGCACCATCGTCGACCCTTCATCGCAAAACCTGTCACTTGACAGCTTCAACAACCAACCCCTAGAGCAACTAGATGCAATATTGGACTCATGCACTGTAAATTGCATAGGAGTAAATAAACTCTCATTGTTATTGATAATGAAAGTATGGATTTGTTTATATACAAGTTTAGTTGTGTAATTAACTTAAACAAAATGTTTAACAGTTCTAACAAACTCTTAACAAACAAACTAACTAACTACAAGTCAATACCCTCCCTCAAGCTTAGTTGTACAAATTTCTCAAACTAAGCTTGGACAATAAAAGCTGAAACTGTGGTGTATGGAGAGCCTTTGTATGTAGATCAGCTAACTGTGCATGAGTAGGAATTGGCATGAGCTGGATGATTCCTTGTTGCACCTTGTCTCTAACCAAGTGGCAATCGATTTCAATGTGTTTCGTTCGCTCATGAAATGTGGGATTCTGAGCTATGTAGATAGCTGATAAATTGTCACAAAACAATGCCACTGGTTTCTGAATTGGTTGCTGAAGGTCCTCAAGAAGATACAATAGCCATTGTATTTCACAAACTGTAGTGGCCATTGTTCGATATTCAGCCTCTGAAGAAGATCTAGAAATTGTACTCTGCTTCTTTGATTTCCAACTAACCAAGGAAGAACCATAAAATAAATTGTACCCTGTAACTGATTTTCTGGTATCAACACAGGAGGCCCAATCTGAATCACAAAATCCTGTAAGCTTATGAGAAGATTCAGCTGAAAAGAATAAGCCTTGACCTGGTTGCAGTTTAAGATATCTCAAAATTCTCATGGCAGCTTCATGATGAACCTTCATTGGGGTAGAAAGGAACTGACTTAAGGTGCTCACAGCAAAGGACAAGTCAGGCCTGGTGTTAGTAAGATACAGTAGCCTCCCAATGAGCCTTCTGTAACCTGAAATATCAGAAAAAGGTTGATCTGTGAGAGCTGGAAGCTTTGTGCCTGGCACCATTGGTGTACTAACAGGTTGACTAGCAAGTAATCCAGCTTCTTCAATCAACTCCAGAGCATATTTCCTCTGAGATAGCACCAAGCCCTCTTTAGATCTGGCTACTTCAAAGCCTAGAAAATATCTGAGATTGCCCAAGTCTTTAATTTTGAACTGATTGTCCAGAAACTGTTTTACCTTGGTAATCTCCTCTAAATCATCACCTGTGAGTACAATGTCATCAACATAAATGAGTAAAATTGTCAAATGCTCATTATGAGATCTAACAAACAGTGAGTAATCACTCTTGAATTGCACATATCCTAAAGAAAGCAGGGAAGTTGTCAGCTTATGGTTCCACTGTCTGCTAGCCTGCTTTAAGCCATATAATGACTTTGTCAACTTGCATACTTGTGAAGGTTGAGCAGTAGCATAGCCTGGAGGT